TAAACATTTTTCAGTTTATATAGTGAATGTTTGAGTTTGTAAAGAAGAATACAAACACTGCTATTTTTTTGAACAGTCTAATATTCACTTTTCTTCAATTGTTTTAGAGGAACAACACAAATTTGATCTATTTTTCTTCATGTTTTGATTTGGAATAGAATGTATAGTGTTCCCAATGCATTTGCGTGTATGGAAATAAAAGCTATTAGAATGATTTTGAGCTTTATTCACTTTTTTCAACATACTGCTATTATTTTGAACACAACTGTATGTGTGTTCCTGTATCCAGGTACTGCTGTTCAAACTATGCACTTTTGTACTGCTGCACTTCCAACAAGCAAAGTCTACAGAGTAAACTCTACAGAGTTGCTACCCCTCTGTAGAGTTTACTCTGTAGACTTTGCTTGTTGGAAGTGCAGCAGGACAAAAGTTAATTTGATAAAGACACATTGGTATGGGTATGTGTAAGGTGTAGGCGACCCACTGATTCAAATTATAAATTCATTTATTTAGTTATTTAGTCACCTAACAATAATTTAAATTTAATTTTTTACCTACTTAATTAAGTATATCAGTTTATTTAAAATACACCATAGTAGCTCACAAGAATCACACATTTCCATATCCAACAATGCAGCTACCAAGGAGATGGCCGCTTTGACAAACTATCTTCAAGCCCTTGCCCAAAAAAAGCATCTCACAAAGAATGCAGGGGGAGAATGACATGTTAACTAAAATGTGTCAGGCAAGCAGAGAAATAATTAGAGATGGAGAAAAGTGCCTTCTGTCAAAGTTGCTGTCTCCTTGCTAGTAGCAATGTCGGACGGTTGTGAAGAAAGAAAAGTGCCCTGTCCGACCTCACAGCTAGCCATAAACAGCACATAGGAAGATGAGACAAAGTACTACATGTACATTTTCCCCTGGGGAAAATAACACATTAATAAACATTGAAGTGGGATTTATTCTTTAAATATTTGTACGTACTCATGTATATGGATGCACAGTCTTTGTTGCATAAAACCCATTAAAGACATCAGTGATGACCCAGCAAACACATCTCTCTACTCAATGTTTTATTTGAAACAGTAAAGCATAAAGGTGTTTCCACAATCTCAGAATTAATAAAGTGGCACAATGGACTTTTTCCCCCAAAATAATAAATTATAAAAAAAATGCAAACCTAAAGAATCATATTTGCCATTGTTTGGTACATTGTTGTAGGTGGAAAAAATCTACATTTTCATTATATTTTTTCAGCTAAAGCACTGCTCGGTTTGTAGATACATCACCAGAGATTTCCTACTACTTCTAGCAACCTCTAAAACTGGCCATATATATAGCATAGCAACTTTCAGTAAATTTAAACAACTTTTGAGCCATCCGGAATGGCACATATGATCAATTCCAAGTAATTTCCAGAAACAAAAGGGTTTATTTACTAAAGCTGGAGAGTGCAAAATCTGGTTCAGTTGTGCATGGTAGCCAATCAACTTCTAACTTCAGCTTGTTCAATTAAGCTCTGGCAATAAAACCTGGAAGCTGATTGGTTTCTATGCAGAGCTGCATCAGATTTTGCACACTACAGTTTTAGTAAATAACCCCCAATGCAACCAAACACCAATGAGTTTGATCACCCACCAAAGTTCAGTCAATTGCGAGTGGAAACTGGACAACAAATGGACAGCTTTTTGATGGATTATTTAAAGGCTGAAATGAAATGGAATCAAAATGGAAAAATTCTACTAAACTTTCTTCTAAAAAGCTTGTTTTTTTCTCCCATGTTCGTCACATGTATGGCCACATTTGATGTACCTCAGTGGATGTTAATTGTCCTAGCTATTTTTCAGTCCTTAATGCTTACATTTCAGTTAACTATAAAAGAAAATTCAGCAAGGTGGCACAGCAAATACTTAATCAAAGGCTGTGGCATACGTATTAGTAGTAGTATCAAATCATGTCTGCACTCACCATCCAATTTATTTGTACAGTTGGGCTAGTTTGAGTTTTTCTGTAACTGTTGATTTGGGATGTTCATGCATATCAGTCTCTAGAGATTACTCTAGATTGGTGCAACAAGAAAAAAACATCTGCTGAGACAGTTCTACGGACAGAAGCATCTTATTGTTGAGAGAGGTCATAAGAGAATGGCCTGACTAATTTGAGCTGACTGGAGAATTACGATAACCTCTCTTTACAACTGTGGTTTTACGCCTGTCAGCCAAGAACAGAAACCTGAGGTGGCAGTGAGCATGGGTCCCCCAAAACTAGACAGTTGAAGACTGGGAAAATGTAGCCTGGTTTGGTCAATCTTCATTTCTTCTGAAGCACTCAGATGGTGGACCAGTCACCCAATCGGAATCCAAGAGAACATCTTCGAGATGCTGTAGAATGGGGAATTCGTAGCATGAATTTGCAGCTGACAAACAGAAACTACATGATGCAATTATGTCAACATGAGTGTATTCTATAATCCACAAATCTTAAAATGGTGATATCATTATTATTATACAGGCTTTATATAGCACCAACAGTTTGTGCAGCGCTTTACAACACGAGGGCAGTCAGTACACTTAGAATACAAATATCAGCCTTCACTTGGGAACAGATGACATTTATCAGTTGTTTCTTTCCCTTTCTGAGATCAGTAATATTCTATTATGTTTTAGTGGATCTCTGTTGTCTTTGTCAACTAGTTGGGGCTGCTGCCAAACTAACACCAAACAAACTGCCACTGCAAGGATAACATTTATTTTTTTTTACATGCATGACAATCTTTCCAGTCATACAATGATAAAAAAAAAAGAAACCAAGAAAAATACACCTTTTCTCCTGCAGTATTTTTATTTAAGGAAACATGATGGGACACAGATAAACGTAGGATCATACAGTATATGGAAGTACCAGCACATACATTTAAGTTAAAGAGGATGAAAAAAGGGAAAAAAACATACAGACTATTAGGGAAAAACATGTGGACTAGTAAATAAAAATTGATTGAGGTCAGCGATGCTTTTAGCATGGGTATATTCATTCCCAAATACATATAGATTTTAGGTGAGATTCAAGGAACCATCCAGCATAGCAGATATAAGTATTAAAAGATTCGCTTATCTCTAACCCCAAATTTAAACTATCATCCTCCAGGCATTAAAGCAGTAGGAGATGCTGTCAGTAAAAACATTTTGAAGCAGTAATTATGATTATGTAGCATTATATACAGTCCACATTATATACAAAATTCAGTACAGAGGAAAAAAATGATAATTAATAGTAGTAATAATAATAATAATAATAGGTCATAAATCCAGCTTTTACTAAACAGTTGTTTGCAATCAATTAAAAAAATAATTGCAATTGGAAAGTAGCAAAACTTCTATGAAACAGAGCTCTCATGTAATCCGAGTGAGATGTGCTATCATGCATACAGAGAGACTTAGTATTGTATTTTCCACTACTACGTTTATTTATATGCATATCAGGTTCAACATCCCCCTGCTAATCCTTTCTTTGGAATGTCCCATCCCAGTAACTACATAAGAGGCTGGGAACTCAAAGTGTAGGCTCATTGGAGCGATGATCAAAGAATACAAATCATGGCATTTAAACATATTCACAACGGAGGACAGAATGGGGCAAAATGGCTGCCTTTTCTCCAACACACAATGAAAGAAAGCAGTTTTGATCAGTGCTCAATTATGAAATCTGTAGTGTGGAAGAAAAACATAAGAGGGTCTGCTACTTTTCCTTTTCCTATTTTTGAGTCACTTGTCCTAGACATACAGGTCTCATATACTGTATATACAGTAAATCACCATCATGTTCTTCACAGATAATACTGAGCCATTCATATAAATTGCCTTTTAAGAACCATGGGGAAAGGCAAACATAACTGCCAGGACCAGATGCCCATTTACCCACCGACAGATGTATTTTGACTTGCCCTGACTTTGTTAAAGATTAAGGGCAGGATTGCATGAAACATGTCTAGCATTGATGTCCTTTTTTATTTGATATGCTGTAATAAAAGCTTAAAGATCAGATCAAGTTTGGATACTTGCACATGGAGAGAAGTTGTCATCGTACACCACCTGCTGTGGTTCAGTCCAGGTATTGCACTAGCCAGGTGAGCTGATTATTGCCTTCCTATGTCATACTTTGCTCTATGGTATGTACAGTAAATACTAGAGATAATATAAAAATATAAATATATAAATATTTTTATATCTTTAAACAAAATCACAATAAAGTTTAACAGGCAAGACACAACCAGTGAATTAAGAGACATAATGAGAACTTGTCAGGTACATTAGGTGTCCACACTGAGCACAAAGACATGGGTGTTTGGTTGGCTATTCAAGCACAGTCTGGCCACCCTCTGGCTTTTGGGGGCCTGATTGCCCCATAAAGTAGAATATTTCTCTTATGTCAATGTAGCATTTGGGGGAGGAAGATGGACAGTGATGAGAGACTTTGCTGGACTGAGGGAAACAATAAGAACTGAGGAAGGTTTTCCAGAAGCTTTTTCTTGTAAGTGCTGCTTTGATGAAGGGAACCCCACATGGTCCCATAATATTTAATGTGTAATGTGACTTCTTCAGCAAAGCTCATATACCGTATTTTTCGCTTCATAAGACGCACTATTTTCCCCCCAAAAAAGGGGAGAAAATGTCAGTGCGTCTTATGGAGCGAATATGGAGCGGCCGGTCCGGTATTTCCGCCGCCGCCACCATGTCAGAATACCGGGCCGGCTGCTCAGCTCTTCTCTCCTGCAGGACCTTACTTGTTCCTCTGTCCAGCGCTGTAGTCTTCCCGCGCCAGCTTCTGTGACAGCCGGGTGCCCACTGCACATGCGCGAGAAGCGCTGCGCTTTGTGAATGGTCCCGCGACTTCTGGGACGCATGCGCAGTCAACACCCGGCTGACACAGAAGCCGGCGCGGGAAGAATCCAGCGTGCCCACACTAAAGAAAGGACAATTTCAGGTACCCGCTCCCCCTCCCTCCCCAAAGGTCCGCAGTCTCTGGTCATCCCCCTGTACTGTCTGCAGTCTCTGGTCATCCCCTGTACTGCCTGCAGTCTCTGGTCATCCCCTGTACTGCCTGCAGTCTCTGGTCATCCTCTGTACTGCCTGCAGTCTCTGGTCATCCCCTGTACTGCCTGCAGTCTCTGGTCATCCCCTGTACTGCCTGCAGTCTCTGGTCATCCCCTGTACTGTCTGCAGTCTCTGGTCATCTCCTGTACTATGTCCGCAGTCCCTGGCATATTCCCTGTATTTCACGTCTATGGTAGTGAGCGCTATAAAACCACAGCTTGGGGTTCCCCAGGGTGCAGAGTCTAAGCCCCAGCCTGCTTGTTCACCAGGGCCCCTGATGGTGGGGATGGACTTGGAGCAGGCTGGAACCAGGTTGCAGCCCCCAGGTACACCCAGCTGAGGTAGAAGAGACCGCTAGCGGGAGCAGGGTGCAATGGGAGTAGAGACAGGATATCCAGTAGGCAGCCGAGGTCAGGACAGGTGGAAAACTAGCGATGTCAAGAACGAAGCCGGGGTCAGTACACGGGCAGACAGTACAGGAGGGATGTCAGGGACGAAGCCTGGGTCGGTACACAGATATACTAACAGATACTCAGTAGAACACAGGGGAGCTCCAACAACAACCGTTGCTCAGGCAATGTGGCCCAGTCTGAGCACATCTTAAATAGACAGGCAGACAAGGAGGCGGGACAGGAAGTGATGGAAGGAAAGGACATAAAACCCAGGGAATAGCAGACGTCGCCCAGAGGTGAGCACAGAACAAAACACATGTCAAGAGCAGCATGGAGGTAAGTGTAAACACACCAGAGGCTGCAAGCTAACTTGTGACACTGTACTGTGTCCGCAGACTCTGGTGATCTCCTGTACTGTGTCCGCAGTCTCTGGTCATCTCCTGTACTGTGTCCGCAGTCTCTGGTCATCTCCTGTACTGTGTCCGCAGTCTCTGGTCATCTCCTGTACTGTGTCTGCAGTCTCTGGTCATCTCCTGTACTGTGTCTGCAGTCTCTGGTCATCTCCTGTACTGTGTCCGCAGTCTCTGGTCATCCCTGTACTGTGTCCGCAGACTCTGGTCATCTCCTGTACTGTGTCCGCAGTCTCTGGTCATCCCCTGTACTGTGTCCACAGTCTCTGGTCATCTCCTGTACTGTGTCCGCAGTCTCTGGTCATCTCCTGTACTGTGTCCGCAGTCTCTGGTCATCTCCTGTACTGTGTCCGCAGTCTCTGGTCATCTCCTGTACTGTGTCCGCAGTCTCTGGTCATCTCCTGTACTGTGTCCGCAGTCTCTGGTCATCTCCTGTACTGTTTCCGCAGTCTCTGGTCATCTCCTGTACTGTGTCCGCAGTCTCTGGTCATTTCCTGTACTGTGTCCGCAGTCTCTGGTCATCTCCTGTACTGTGTCCGCAGTCTCTGGTCATCTGCTGTACTGTGTCCGCAGTCTCTGGTCATCTGCTGTACTGTGTCCGCAGTCTCTGGTCATCTCCTGTACTGTGTCCGCAGTCTCTGGTCATCTCCTGTACTGTGTCCGCAGTCTCTGGTCATCTCCTGTACTGTGTCCGCAGTCTCTGGTCATCTCCTGTACTGTGTCCGCAGTCTCTGGTCATCTCCTGTACTGTGTCCGCAGTCTCTGGTCATCTCCTGTACTGTGTCCGCAGTCTCTGGTCATCTCCTGTACTGTGTCCGCAGACTCTGGTGATCTCCGTACTGTGTCCGCAGTCTCTGGTCATTTCCTGTACTGTGTCCGCAGTCTCTGGTCATCTCCTGTACAGTGTCCGCAGTCTCTGGTCATTTCCTGTACTGTGTCCGCAGTCTCTGGTCATCTCCTGTACTGTGTCCGCAGTCTCTGGTCATCTCCTGTACTGTGTCCGCAGTCTCTGGTCATCTCCTGTACTGTGTCCGCAGTCTCTGGTCATCTCCTGTACTGTGTCCGCAGTCTCTGGTCATCTCCTGTACTGTGTCCGCAGTCTCTGGTCATCTCCTGTACTGTGTAAGTCCATTGGTTCGGAATATTTTTTTTCTTGTTTTTCACCTCTAAAACGTAAGTGCCTGTTATGGTCAGGTGCGTCTTATGGAGCGCAAAGTACGGTAAATCAATTTTGGTATCCTGTTGTATGTAATACATTACCTATTTGCTTCGCGATTGTGCCATCTATCTAATTACAGTAGCGACCACTGTACATCAAAGGTTAGATTATTATATGGTGTGCAGCTGAAGTACATTAGGATTTCAAATCTGCATAATCAATTCATCGACCCAAACAGTGGTCAGCAAGGTGGACATTGGCATCTCACAGATGTGAGATGGTCACCAAATCTGGCCATCAAGGCTTAATTACAGAGGCAGAATTTGAATCCCCTGGTATAAATTGCATCCAGAATCAGGGGATCCTCAGGTACACATCTGTTAAGGGCTTATTAAAGGACCTCGATGCCTATAGTTTAGCAGTATTGTTAGTTGGAGCAAAAAAAAAAAAATTGTGCCCAGCAGGTTTGTTTCATTCCATTCATTTGCCATCTTCAGTTATGTCTTTTCCCTGAAAACATGCTCTAGTCTAGATGCTAATGTCTTCTACATGAAGGTAAGGGGAGCTGATTTTTAGAAATGAACCCACTTCATTGTAGAGAAAACTACCCTAAGGTGCACATAGGGCTGGACTCCATAGATGCTGAATACAATATTTGGGTCAGTGTAAAATAAAATGTGTTGTCCCAGAAATGCAGTATACCGATTTGTTCGGCTCAGCACACAATGAACAGTTTGGGGGGCACATGGCAGGTGTCACAAACACCTATGCAGTACCTTTTTACAGGCAACAAAACCTAAGCCTAAGAAGCTACTTATCTTAACACAGCCCATCCATGGATATTCTGGGAAATGCATAGTTGTTACTGGAAGATACAAAGGAAAACAAGCAAGCAATGCATTTTCCTGGCTACAGAACTATTTCTTGATAATACTGGGAAAACCTGGAAATTAAATGCTGGATCACTAATGTTATTCCGACGTTACAACACATCTTTTGCTAAAAAAAAACTGCAGAAACTGGATTACTGGAAATGTAAGGGATTTCCAAAGTTGCATATTTCATGCATGATGTACTTGCTTCTTTCTTAGTAAAAGTGAAAATGGTGAGTAGAATATTACATTTGATTACCCTAGAGCAAATCATGAAGCAATGAAATGACCACACTGTGTGTGACAATTTTATATGTTAAGGTCTATATGAAAGTTTTCTCTATTTAATCAACACAGCATACTATAGAAAATCAACTATTAAAGTTTTCGTAGTTCTCCCTAGGCACTAAACCTGTTTAGCTATCAAGAGAAATTCTGTGTTCTAAAAAAATGCAGTCGACCAGACAAGATATACAGTTTGTGACCAAAATTATTCAACCCCCACTGAAATTGAGTTTTTGGCCAGTTTGACATTTTTGATCATTCAGGCATCTTGCTTACATTTACATTAAAGAGGCACTTGTAGGTCAGACAAATATAACATAACAGTTATAATGAAATAACCACAAATGTCTTTTCTGTGCTCACAGCATTATCAGTTTTATTCAACCCCCAAGTGACATTCAATCTTAGTACTTATGTACAGCATCCTTTTACAGTTATAACAGCTTTTAAACGTGAAGCATAGCTTGACACAAGTGTCTTGCAGCGATCTATGGGTATCTTTCGCCCATTCTTCATGGGCAAAGGCCTCCAGTTCAGTCACATTCTTAGGCTTGCGCACTGCAACTGCTTTCTTTAAGTCCCACCAGAGGTTCTCAATCGGATTTAAGTCTGGTGACTGCGATGGCCACTCCATGTCCAAATGTTCCAGCCTTTCCTCTGCAACCATGCTCTAGTGGACTTGGAGGTATGCTTGGGATCATTGTCCTGTTGAAAATCCAACGTCTCCCAAGCCTCAGGTGTGTGACGGACTGCATCACGTTTCCATCCAATATCTCCTGGTACTGAAGAGAATTCATGGTACCTTGCACACGCTGAAGCTTCCCTGACCTGCAGAAGCAAAACAGCCCCAAAGCATGATTGACCCTCCACCCATGCTTCACAGTAGGCAAGGTGTTCTTTTCATCATAGGCCTTGTTCTTCCTCCTCCAAACATAGCGTTGATCCATGGGGCCCAAACAGTTCTAATTTTGTTTTCATCAGTCCACAGAACACTATCCCACAACTTTTGTGGTTTTGTCCACATGGCTTTTGGCATACTGCAGTCGACTCTTCTTATTCTTTGGAGACAGCAAGGGGGTACGCCTGGGAGTTCTGGCACGGAGCCTTCATTGCAGTGTGCGTCTCATTGTCTGGGCTGAAACTTCTGTACCCACATCTGACAAATCTTTTCTCAGTTCCTCAGCAGTCACACGGGGACTCTTCTCTCCACTCTACTTCAGGTAGCGCACAGCAGTCGAAGTCAGCATCTTCTTTCTGCCACGACCAGGTAGCGTTTTCAACAGTGCCCTTTGCCTTGAATTTGCGAATGATGCTTCCTAAGGTGTCTCTGGTATGTTTTAACATCTTGCAATCTTCTTATAGCCATTGCCCTTCCTGTGAAGAGAAATCACCTCTTCTCTTGTCTTCCTGGACCATTCTCTTGCCTTCACCATGTTTGTAACCACACCAGTAAATGTCTAGAAGGAGCTGAGTATCACAGTCATTTTAAAGCTGCCTAATTGGTGCTTATTATGCTTGATTGCTGCTCGGTGACATCCACAGGTGTTTTCAATACCTGATGGAAAGCACCTGTATGAACCTCTGTTCTTCAGAGTGGTAGTCTTTAAGGGGTTGAATAATTGTGGCAATGAAGAAACCACATAAGACCATTTACTACTGTATTACATAAACAATTGATGTCATTTTAGTTGCATTTGGGTAGTTACAACGTCCTTGTAGGATTTGATTCTGAAATACAATTCCAAATGTACACTATAGTCCCTAAACCCCTTTACAGCATTGGGGGGTTGAATAATTTTGGTCACAACTGTAGATGTGGGATGACTACAAAGACAGCTTTTACTTACTTTCTGGCTATTTTCACATTAGTATAACTTACAGTATAGGAGTGCCATGTGTGTAATTATTGTGCTGCATTTATCACATGCCTTTGTATAGAATTTGTGAACTCTATTCACTTCTGTGTTTATGATTTGCATCACGTTAAGTTTTTAACAGAAGACTGTTAAAGCTGAACGCAGAGAATGCAAATAAAAACAAAACTGAATTACATACGGTATATGGAAATAGAGTTTCTCAGCAAAGAATTTGTTATTCTGTGCAGCCAATCCTGTAACCCAGACACCCCTACAGAGACAACAAAGGCATAGTTGACAACATTTCCAAAAAAATTATAGGGACACTATGTCCAGAACTCCATTGTAGGCGGAAACTGTATGTTAATTGGTGGTGGGGCATTCATTTATAGGCGTGGTTCAACAGGAAGGAAGAAAAAATGCAGGAAGCGAAGCATTTACTATCACTTTCCTTGGGCTTGGCGACAGATGGCACACCGACTGCGGGTCTGGCTGGGTCGGTTCACTCGCTCACTCTGCTGGCCTCTCTGCTCCGTCGGGGTGGCTGGTTCACCTCTGGCCTCTAGTCCTCTGCTCTGCCTCATGACACCCTCTGCTTTAACTAAGACTCAGGCCTCTGGCAGCCCCGCTCACTCCGTGTCTACTCCGACTGGGCTTTCAGTGTCCATCACTGCTCCTCTTGCTCCCAGTCATGTCCTTGCAGCAGCTGCTGACACTGAAAGTGTGCCATGTTCGCACCCTGCGTAGTCCAGGATGTAGGCTCACACAGCACAAAGTGCTGAACCCCCCTCTACTCTCCACATGCTCCTGCTAACCGAGTGGTTCAAGGGTGGGCTGGTGTGATCACCTCTGACTGGCCACTCCCCCTTTCAGCACTGACTAATATGCGTTTAGACAGCCTTTTCCTGACATCTTAGATGCGGACAGGAGGTAGGGGAGGGATGACAGTGTGCATGTTTGATTCACCACCAGGTGGCCCAGGAC